TGCAAAAAAAAAAAAAAAAAAAAGGGCAATTTGAAGGACAAGTATTGGACAATTTAGCTAGCAAAAGCACCCAGAAGTGAAATAAGTATTCACTCGGAAGTTTTTATCATATCAAATGCTTTACAAAATCTGAACTGTATTTCTGTTTTATTTAAGTTGAAGATCTAACTCAATAGAAGTATGCTATAATATTGAGGTATTATTATTAAAACTTGATTAAATATTGCTTTTGCAGAGATCTTATTTATTGGTAAGTGTCTTCATGAAGGGCACCTAGTATAGTCCTTGGTACATAGTTTATATGTAAGAAGAGTTTCCCACTTTTATCTTTTCTATTGTTTTAGTGTAATACTTGACTTCAAACTACTCTATTTATTTGTTTATTTATACACATTATAGTAACAAATTATAATATTGATTTATCTGAATCCAGTATTGCTCATATGATTAATAAAATCATTCTATGTAATAATTTGTCATAATTTTGACATTATCAAAGAATGTGAACATATACAAATATATAGCTAAGTGTGTATGAAAATGTTGCTGCTTAGTCGTTAATTTGTGTCCAACTCTTGTGACCTCATGGTTTCTTGCCTGCTCGGCTCCTCTGACCTTGGGATTTCCCAGGGCAAGAATACTGGAGTGGGTTGCCATTTCCTTCTCCAGGGGATCTTCCTGAGCAAGGGATCGAACCTGCCTCTCCTGTATTGGAAGGCAGGTTCTTTACCACTAAGCCACCAGGGAAACTCATATGACAATAATGATAATTAAGCATATTGATCACATTATAGAAATCAAATATAGAGCCTATTAGCATAACCTTGTATTTGGAAATAAAATGTAACTTAAAATTCACAAGTTATAGAATCACTGACTTTTTAGCATAACCATGTATGCTATAAACCACTATTCATCAATCTGTCTGTCTTTTGTATGAATCCTCTCCTAATAAAACTCAGTAACACAGGGTCTGTACAAAATACATTTATGTAACACTTCAATAAAAATGACATAATATTTGACAACTTCTGTGAAATAAATATTTGATACATAGCAGCTGTTATTTCGGAGAAGGCAATGACACCCCACTCCAGTACTCTTGCCTGGAAAATCCCATGGACGGAGGAGCCTGGTAAGCTGCAATCCATGGGGTCGCGAAGAGTCGGACACGACTGAGTGACTTCAATTTCATTTTTCACTTTCATGCATTGGAGAAGGAAATGACAACACACTCCAGTGTTCTTGCCTGGAGAATCCCAGGGACGGCGGAGCCTGGTGGGCTGCCGTCTATGGGGTCGCACAGAGTCGGACACGACTGAAGTGACTTAGCAGCAGCAGCAGCAGCAGCAGTTGTTATTTTGGGCTTCCCTGGTGGCTCAGAGGTTAAAGCGTCTGCCTGCAATGCGGGAGACCTTCGTTCGATTCCTGGGTAGGGAAGATCCCCTGGAGAAGGTAATGGCAATCCACTGCAGTATTATTGCCTGGAGAATCCCATGGACGGTGGAGCCTGGTGGGCTACAGTCCACGGTGTCGCAAAGAGTCGTACACGACAAAGCGACTTCACTTTCACTTTCTTTCAGCTGTTATTGTATAATTTACTAAAGTCTAACCTAGGTCATCAGTATGTTACTTCACTTGGTAAATGTCCATTTTAATGTTCTTTATAGTATTGTGTAGTCCGCAGATTAACAATAAAATTACTTTAGTTTTGATAATGCAATATAAATTATTAATACTAGGGCAAAACTGCTGGAAAAGAATAAATATACTACATTTTTTCCTTAAAAAATCTTTGAAAAATAAATAAGAAAATTGTATAGAAAAGATAATAGTGTCATTTTGGGCCGCTTTATTTGAGTCTTTATTAAAACCAACAGATGTATTTCAATACTTGAAAAATGTTGCAGTTAGAAAAAAAAGTGTAATGCACACATAAAGATTCATGAGCAATTATCCAAGGTTATCTTCTCAGATCTCCTCTGACAATCTATTTAATCGTAATTTAGAATGGTTCCCTATTTTGTTTCATTACAATGGCAACTTAGATGTTGAGGATATGAAGAACAGAGAAGAATCTGATACTAGAAGTAAAGGCACTGACAGCATACGAAGTGACAGCTGACAGTTTCATGGCAAAAAAGGAAACATGACATTTTTAACTTAGAGTTGAACAGTGAGTAGAAATTTGTAAGGTAAGAAATAGGGAAAAGTGTTACATACAGGGAAAGCATTATGTGTAAAGACAAGGGACATGAAAGGTCATAGCACATG